TGAACTCATGACCTTGAGATCAAGATGCCTAGACCCATCCTCAGCACAGTACCCAGACAAAATTAGAGGTGATATGTGAATTGCAGATTTGGAGCACAACACTCTCTTATTCCAGGACCAAGAAACTTGGTTTAGGGGAAAAAAGATGGAGGAAAGGAAAAGTCTCTGTCCACTTCTCCCTTTAACAAGGGAGACAAAGGAGGAAACAAAGGATGTTTTTAAATAGGAAGTGGAAAAGGAGACTGTGGAGACCTAGGGGAGGAAGAAATCCATGTCAACAGCTGGGCCCAGAGCTATGGGTCAGGATTAGGGAGTTGGGGAGTGAGGGCGCCTGGCAGCTCAGCATTTCCTCTGGGAGGTAGCTGGTGGGGCACAAGGAGATGACTCTGACCAGCTGGGCATATAAGAAGAAGGAAAAACAGAACTCAGAATTCATATGCAAACGAGTTCCTTACATTTCCTTCCATAGCCCCCACCACAAGGTCAAGCAACAGAGCTGTCTTTTTTTTTTCTCACTTGCCTACCCCCCTTTTAACTCAAATGGTCACCTTAAGGAATTTCATGAGGATTGACATAGTCATAAAGAAGGAGGGAAAGTCAAACAGGGAGGAGGGGGTCTCACAATGGGATTGACCCTGGCCAAGGTACCTAACCCCAACACCCCAAGAAACATCCAAAAGGGTCCTATTTCTTCATTTTAAGCAGAAAAAATTTCCAAGAATATCCAGTGAATTCTGTAGGCCCACCCACCACATCAAAACTTCAAACAGGAAGTCCGACAAAAATATTTCAAGGCAGGGAGCCTGGGTGGCTCAGTTAGTTAAGTGTCCGTAAGCATCAGACTCTTGGTTTCAGCTCAGGTCATGATCTCAGGGTGGTGAGATCCAGCCTGGCACTGGGCTCCGCACTTGGTGTGGAGTCTGCTTGAGATTCTCTGCCTCTCCCTCTCCATCTGCCCCTCCCCCGGCTCGTGCTGGCTCACAGGCACACTCTCTCTCTAAAATAAATTAAAAAATAAAAAATAAAAAAATGTCAAGGTGCTAAACTGGCTCTTCTGCTATCTATTTAACATAGAGACTTAGATTTCAGGGGTCTCCACAACCAAACCTGATGTCCTGTTAGATGAATGCACACTATAGTTTCAAAACTCCACATAACCTTTAGCTGAAAAAAGAGTTCAGTCCATTCATTCCAAGCAAGAAACAAGAAAGCTGACCACCATCCTGGTTGAGATGGGGGTGTGAAAAGATGAGGAAAGAGAGCTCATAGTCATGAGGTAGCTGTCCAAGAATAGCAACCAAATTCAAGGCCAGAGATCAAGGTCCATTAGCCTCACCCTGCTCCTTCTCACATTCCTTCCCCTGAGAACTAGGAGAAGACCTTAACCCCTGGGCAACAGACAAATTACATATATATGTATATATATATACATATATATATTACGATTCATTTATTTATTTTAGAGAGAAAGAGAGAAAGAGAGTGTGCAAGCAAGGGGGAGAGACGGAGGGAGAGCGAGAGAGAATTCCAAGTGGACTCCCCACTGAGTGCAGAGCCTGATGTGGAGCTTGATTCCAAGACCCTGAGAACGTCACCTGAGCTGAAACCAAGACTTGGTTGCTCAGCTCAACCGACTGAGCCACCCAGGCACCCCGACAAATGATATTTTGAATAACTTTTAATACTCCTTTGGCATTTCAGGGTCCTTTGCACAAGATTGCGTCTTCTACATATTTTGTTTCCCCCAACACAGCTAGGTGGTGGTTCACATGTAACATGAATAGGCAGTAATAAGAGCCACAATTTTGATGGCTTACTGTGAAGCAGTACCGAGCTAAGCAACATGCACCAATTACCCTGAACCTTTTCTGCAGATGGGGAAACTAGCACAGACAGAAGTTAAATAACATGCCCAAGATCACACAAATGACAAGTGGCTGTAATGAAATTCAGTGAATTAAATATTCAATTCACATCAAGAAATTCTTTGAATTTGAGAGAAAATGTACTAGTGCATGTTTTCCACATTTCAATAGAAAAGATGGAAAGAAATAAACATAAGTTGTGTGTTCATTCTCAGTTCATCATAACATTTGTTATGTATGAAATACATACATCAGGCACCTCCTGCCCTGGAGACCTACACCAGGAAGATGATCCCATGTAATGCCTGGCTTTAAAAATCAGAGGGGCATAACTCTAGGGGAGTCAGAGGACTATAGAAAACTGAGGCTCCACTATTAAAGGGCTTGTGCGTAAACTCAGACCCAGCACAGAAGCAATAGTTTGAAAAGCACCTGGGCCTTACATGAAGATTTATTGACTAATTTTAGGGTATGTGCTAAAGGGGCAGGAATCTGTAGGAACTTTCTTTAGGACAAAAGCATTGTTAAAGGAAATAAAAAATACTTTGAAACAAATTAAAATGAAAATATAACATTAAAAATCTTTGGAAAGGGGCGCCTGGGTGGCTCAGTTGGTTAAGCGACTGCCTTCGGTTCAGGTCATGATCCTGGAGTCCCGGGATCGAGTCCCACATCGGGCTCCCTGCTCAGCAGTGAGTCTGTTTCTCCCTCGGACCCACCCCCCTCTCATGCTCTCTCTCTCTCTATTTCATTCTCTCTCTCAAATAAATAAATAAAATCTTTAAAAAAAATAAATAAAGGGGCACCAGGGTGGCTCAGTCGGTTAAGTGTCTGCCTTTGGCTCCAGTCGTGGTCCCAGGGTCTTGGATTGAACCCCACATTGGGCTCCCTGCTCAGTGGGGAGTCTGCTTCTTCCCTTGCCTCTGCCTGCCACTCCCCCTGTTTGCACTCTCTGTCAAAATAAACAAACAAACAAATAAATAAATATCTTTGGAACACAGCAAAAGCAGTTCTAAGAGGGAAGTTTATAGTAATGCAAGCCTACCTCAAGAAACAAGAAAAACCTCAAATAAACAACCTAACCTTATACCTAAAGGGACTAGAAGAACAAAGCCCGAGGTGAGTAGAAGGAAGGAAATAATAAAGATCAGAGCAGAAATAAAGGAAATAGAGACTAAAAAAGCAATAAGAAAGGTAGTGAAATTAAGAGCTGGTTCTTTGAAAAGATAAAATTGATAAACCTTTAGCCAGACTCATCAAGAAAAAAAGAGAGGGGACTCAGGTGAATCAAATCAGAAATGAAAACGAAGTTACCAGTGACACCACAGGAACACAAAGGATTGTAAGAGTACTACAAAAAATTATATGCCAACAAATTGCACAATCTGGAAGAAATGGATAAATTCCTAGAAACATACAATCTTCCAAGACTGAATCAAGAATAAATAGAAAATCTGAACAGGCCGATTACTAATAATGAAATTGAATCTGTAGTCAAAAAACTCCCAATGAGCAAAAGCCCAGGACCAGAGGGCTTCACACTTTATACTAACGTTTTTTTTTAACTTTTTAAAATTATTTTTTAGTATCATGCCAACCAGAGGTGCTGGGGTATGGGTTTTATCCTTGGAACTAAAGTGCATGCCTACCAGACATTGGGCAGGTAGACCAAGTGCTGTTGCAAAGTTGGCTTTTATAGGCAGTAGATGTGAAAGTGTACAGCCTGGTGTCGCAAAAGTTAGGTGTAGGTTTTCCATCCAAAACTTCCTTTTTTTTAAAAAAAAAGATTTTATTTATTTGACAGAGAGAGAGAGCACAAGTGGAGATAGTGGCAAATGAAGAGGGAGAAGCAGGTTCCTGGGATCATGACCTGAGCCGAAGGCATAGGCTTAACTGATTCAGCCACCCAGGTACCCCATCCAGAACTTTATTAGAAATTTCTCCAAATCTGCATCCCAAATCATATAATTTCTCCTACTCAATTCAGTCCTTGGCCCTCATCCCATGATCAAATGTTTTTACATAGAAGATACCCAATAGTGCGGTCCACTTTTCCCATTTATATTACATTAGCATCTTTCCCTTAAATTCTAAAAAGGGAGGTTTCCAATAATCGATGGCATGAGTTTTCATGATCTGATAAGTTACTTCTTAGGAGGAAAGGCTCAAAAAGCCATCTAGCTACTAGTAGACTGGATTCTGAATTTCCATAGCAAACTCACCGTACCTTCAAAAATTAAAGTCAGTAGAATTAGTGTTTGAACGTTCTTTCATTTAACAACGGTATAAAATGAATAGAATAGATAACCATTAACCATGTATTGTTGAGTTAGCATATGAGGGGACTAGTTTAAAGGGCTGGACAAGAAGGGGGTTACAAATTCCTTTTGCTGCTGCATTTTAGTGGAGATGAATATCTGGAGAATAAACAAGCAGTTTTCTCTGGGCTGCGAACTTAACTGTAGTGTATCAGGCTCAAATTATTAACAAAGAATTTGTGCCCTCTAAGCTAACTGGGCAAAATGGGGCTTAGACATCATAGCTCACCACCAATTTCGAAAAACCCTCCTTATTTTGTTTGGGATTAGAAAGAAAAAACTGTGGGGGCGCTTGGCTGGCTCTGTTAAGCGTCTGCCTCCGGCTCAGGGCATGATCCCAGAGTCCTGGGTTCGAGCCCCGCCTCGGGCTCCTTACTCAGCGGGGAGCCTGCTTCTCCCTCCTCCTCTGCCCCCACCCCCCGCTCGTGCTCGCGCGCGCTCTCTCAAATAAATAAAAATCTTAAAAAAGAAAAAAGAAAAAAATTGTGGGGGGGGTGTGGGTGTACTCCTACACGCAGCCACATACACACAAACATGTATATATGTAAAGTTACATTGGCTTTGTTATTCACACGGCCGCTCAGTGAAATGTCTCTGGGGCCTATCGCCCTTCCCCTGAGTTATTTCAACTCGATGCTAAGGAAAGGACACGCTCTCTAGTCCAGTTTAGATTTGAGGAGCCTCACTCGGGACCGGAAGGATGAGTGGACCCGGTTGCCCCACGGACTTCTTTATACCGATACACACATCCCCGTCCCGTGGGCAGGACCACCTAGGTCGGGGGAAGAGATTTGCCGACGTACCCGGAACTGTTTCCAAGGTTTCCTCAGGTTCCGGCGGTGGCGCGACGGCGGGTTTGGGACCCGAACCAACCCAGATCTTCCGAGGCTCGCGAGAGCGCCCCCCTTCTCTAGCTATTTGGGGGACCCAGCGGCCGCGATGGCTCCGGTGTCGGGTTCGCGCAGCCCTGAGGGGGAGGCCTCGGGCTCCGGGGGGAAGCGTCGCAGTTCGTCGAGAAGCCCTAAGCCCAGCAGATCCGCCCGCTCCCCGCGGGGCCGTCGCTCGCGCTCTCGTTCGCACTCTTGCTCTCGGAATGGTGTCAGCCATCAGCCGGGCGGCTTCAGTCAGGGGTCCCGAAACCAGTCCTACCGATCCCGTTCGCGGTCATGCTCCCGGGAGCGGCCCTCTGCGCCGCGGGGCAACCCCTTCGCTTCAGCCTCCTCGACCGCGTATTATGGCGGCTACTCGCGCCCCTACGGGAGCGACAAGCCGTGGCCTAGCCTTCTGGACAAGGAGAGGGAGGAGAGCCTGCGGCAGAAGTGAGTGAGACGGGCACACCTTCTCTTGCGGGAGCCCACCCGACTTTGGAGTCTGACTTTGCGCATTTCGCTCTCTGCCTTTTTCCGCCCCTCTCTTCCCTTGGGTTTTCACTCATCCTCGGGCCCCTTGGTACCGCGCTCTGGTGTCTCCGCTACTTCTTCTGCCTCCTGGCTTGGAGCGGTTCTGTCGGGAGCCTCAGACCTACCCGAATTACAGTATTCGCTTGGTCGTGTCTTTATCATTTGGAAGCGTGCTTTCATTTCGCACTCGATTGAGCTCGTGGCAAAGAAGAGACCTGTTTTATTGATCACAAGATTAGCAGTGCCTAGCACTTGGTAGGCGTACCAGCACTGCTTGCTGAATGATCAGTCAGGTTTGAGGTGACAGGATGTGTACGGTGGAAATGTCGAGAGGAAGAGTTTAAATCCGAGGGGAAAAAAAAAACCCTCTGAGCCCAGATGATTGAATGTGGGATAAGTGACCTGCTAAACTGGTGATTAAGCTACGTTGAAAAAGGTCTTGTTAAATGGTCTCAATTTGACCGTGAAAAACGAGGTCAAGGGTGAGATCAGGTGCCCTCTCATGAGTGAGTGTTGGAGTGGGAAAGTGGATAGCTGAAGAAGGAGAAAGGAAAAGGGTTATAATTATTGTCCCGTAAGTTTTAAAATCTAATGCTTATTGAGTGTTAAATTCTGTCAGGCACTGTACCAGGTGCTTTACATGTCCTCTGTGTGTGTGTTTTTTTTTTATTTATTTATTTGACAGCACAAGCAGGGGGAGCGGCAGGCAGAGGGAGAGGGAGAAGCAGGCTCCCCGTTGAGCAGGGAACCTGATGTGGGATCATGACCCCTGGGATCAAGACCCCAGCCCAGGGCAGACGCTTAACCAACTGAGCCACCCAGGCGCCCCTACATGTGCGCTATGTTAAAAAAGAAATTTAACAGTATCACAGGCATTGAGGGGCAGGTTAAGATTCCAAAGCTGGGAGATGTCTCCATAAATCTTCTTCTTCCAAGAATGGGAAGTAATAAAGGATAGCAATGAAGAGGAAAGGCTCCAGAATCCGAATGCCTGAATTTGAAGCCATGCTTTGCAGTGTAATAGTTGTGTGACCTTGAGCAAGTTTCTGAACTTCTCTGAGCTTTATTTCTAACCATTTAAAGAGGGATAAAATTGGCGCCAAGGCTTTTAGAGTTGTGATGATTTTAGTTCCTGGAACATAATAAATAGTCCTTGAGTGTTAGCTACTAGGATTTCCTGAATGGAAGCAGAAACAATAAAAACAGTACGGAGTTAGGTTGGAGACCTACCTCTCCAAATTAAATTTTTCAGAGTTACCTCCTGGCTGTGTTAGTCAAAAAGCAGCCAACTTCCTACTGGACAATCCTCATCAAAAGATGTCAGAACTTCTTGGATGGAATTTGCATTTGTACATTTAGAAGATGAATAGTTTATCTTAAGAGTACAGATGAAGCTGGGGGCAGCAGGGATGAGAACTTGACTGTTCTTACAGCCTGTCATACTTCCCCCTGCATATATATTAGAAGTTGGGTTATAAGTATAACCCTTTTAGGCACTTTCTTCAAGTGGGAAACCTGAGTCTAATTCTGCATGATTATAATACCTTTTCTCCTGAATAAAGAAGTAAAAAACAGTATATTCAAGCAATCAAACCAGTTTATTTTGTAAGGGTTTGGGGTGTGTGTGTGTTTTTAACAAATGGAATCACAAGCAGCTAAACTTTGAGGAATTGAGTCTTCGTTTTTTTGTATTTTGTTTGTGAGCAAAATTGAAAGAAAAAAATCACAAACATAAATTTTTCATGTCCTGCAAGAGTAGATAGGGAATATAGTCCTTTTCCAAAAAGGAACTAAAGGGAAAAGGGAGAAAACAAACCCTGTATCTCATTGAGGACAGTTTTTGTCAAATAAAACTTTTCTTTCATTTTCAGAGCTCTCTATTTTCTATTTCTAATGCTTCATTTTAATTTTCTTCATTAATTCCTAAGTTTCTGAAAACGGGTTTGACTAAATCAAAAGTAGAGACTGCTCTTTACTCATAAACATGTATAAACAAGTTATTTCCAAATATAAAACTATTTGTGTCACATATTGCAGAAGACGAAATGAGCAATTAGGAGCTATGTCATGCAAGAGGCAGAAGAGATGTACTTGATAGCCTTTGAGGCTGTATTTCTGGCCTGGCCTCAGGCTGTCTGTAGGCTGTACCATTTGATAGTACTAGCAAGAACATCAAATTATAATGAGTATACTTAATTTATTAATTTAACTTTTAAAATAGGAAAATAGGACTTAACTGGCCTCCTTTGAATTGATTATGTATTTAGGAGACAATTTAGCCATGGAGTTATAATTTATATGCCTATATCTTCTAGGAGATTAAGTGAGAGAGAGAGGATTGGAGAATTGGGAGCTCCTGAAGTATGGGGACTTTCTCCAAAGAATCCAGAACCAGAGTAAGTGATTAAAAAATACTTTTAAAAAATGTAACATTTGTTTAAATCCAGAGACTTGTCAAAATTTTTGTTAAATGAAGAACTTTTAAGTACAGCTCATGTTTTTTCTTCTTTTTTGTGATTTATGCTATTCTACCCCTTAGAATTTAAAAACATTGAACATACATAACAATTAAAACATGTTGCTAGTGGATTTTAACATATTAACATGTGTTCTTTTTTAAATTTATTTTTAAAGATTTTATTTATTTGACAGAGAGGTGGAGAGCACAAGTAGGCAGAGCGGCAGGGAGAGGGAGAGGGAGAAGCAGGCTCCCCGCTGAGCAGGGAGCCCGACTCAGGGCTCGATCCCAGGACCCTGGGATCATGACCTGACCTGAAGGCAGCCACTTAACCGACTGAGCCACCCAGGCGCCCGTTAATTGTTCTTAAATTGTAATTCATGGGAGTGCTAATTTCCTATTCATAGAAGGGTTCAGTATTAAGACAAATATATTGATATTATTTTGAATTATTTTTTTCTCAGCCTAATAGCAGATTGAGTGTCAGGTGTTAGCCTTACAAAGGGATTTTTTTTTTTTTGAGGTACAATTGACAAACAACATGGATGGTAGAGTAGGGTTTTCTTATATATATTGGCAAATAGTGACAGTTTTACTTCTTACATTTTTTAAAGATTTTATTTATTTATTTGAGAGAGAGAGAATGAGAGAGAGAGAGAGAGAGAGAGAGCACATGAGAGGGGGGAGGGCCAGAGGGAGAAGGAGACTCCCTGCTGAGCAGGGAGCCTGATGCGGGACTCGATCCCGGGACTTCATCCTGGGACTCCAGGATCATGACCTGAGCTGAAGGCAGTCGCTTAACCAACTGAGCCACCCAGGTGCCCCACTTTTACTTCTTCTTTACCAATTTGGATGCCTTTTATTTTTCTTGTCTTTGGCTAGGACTTCAGTATTATGTTGAATAAAAGTGGTGAGAATGGGCATCCTTGTCTTGTTCCTGATCTTGGGGTGAAGCTTTCAGCTTTTTACTGTTGAGTGTGATGTTAGCTGTGGGTTCGTCATATCTGGCCTTTTTTAAGTTGAGGTATGTTTTCTCTATATTCACTTTGTTGAGAGTTTGTATCTTATTTGGATGTTGAGTTTTTGTCAGATGCTGTTTCTGCATCTATTGAGATGATCATAGGATTTTTATCCTTTATTTTGTTAATGTGGTATATCCACATTGATTGATTTGTGGATATTGAATTATCCTTGCATTTCTGGAGTAATTTTGACTTTAGAATGGTGTATGATCTTTTTAATGTAGTATAAAATTTGGTTTGCTAATATTTTGTTGCAGATTTTTGCATCTACATACATCAGGGATATTGGCTTGTAACTTTTTTATTTGTGGTGTCTTTGGTTTTGGTATCAGGACAATGCTGGCCTCATAGAGTGAGTCTGTTCTTTCTTCAGTTTTTTGGAATTGTTTAAGCAGTATAGGTCTTAATTCATTAAATATTTGGTAGAATTTACCTGTGAAACCATCTGGTCCTGGAGTTTCTTTTGTTGGGAGTTTTTTGATTACTGAGTCAATTTCATTAGTAGTAATCAGTCTGTATTGTAATCTTCCTGATTTAGACGATTTATTTATTCTCAGTTGTTTGTTGGCACATAATTGTTCTTAATAGTCTCATGATTTTTTTCTATTTCTGTAGTATTGGGTGTAACTTATCCACTTTCATTTCTGATTTTATTTATATGGGCACTCTTTCTTTTTTTCTTGATGAATCTGGCTAAAGGTTATCAATTTTATCTTGTCAAAGAACCAACTCTTCGTTTCATTGATCTTTTCTGTTGTCTTTTTAGTCTCTTTTTCATTTATTTTTCACTCTGATCTTTATTATTTTCTTCCTCCTGTTAACTTTGGGCTTTGTTTTTTTTCTAGTTCCTTTAGGTGTAAGATTAGATTGTTTATTTGAGATTTTTCTTGGTTCTTGAGTTGGGCCTGTATAAAACTTCCCTCGTAGAACTTCTTTTGCTGCATTTCATGGATTTTGTACTGTTGTGTTTCCATTTTCATTTGTCTCAGGGTAATTTTTGACTTCCTCTTTGATTTCTTCATTGACCCGTTGGTTGGTTGGTTGGTTATTTATTTATTTATTTATTTTAAAGATTTTATTTATTTGACAGAGAGAGACACAGCGAGAGAGGGAACACAAGCAGGGGGAGTGGGAGAGGGAGAACCAGGCTTCCCACCAAGCAGGGATCCCAATGCAGGGCTCGATCCCAGGACCCCGAGATCATGAGCCGAGCCGAAGGCAGACGCTTAACGACTGAGCCACCCAGGCGCCCCTTTATTTATTGATTTTTAAAGATTTATTTATTTAAGAGAGAGAGAGAGCACGCATGCACAAATGGGAGGGTCAGAGGGAGAGGGAGAGAGAATCTCAAGCAGACTCCACACTGAGCACAGAGCCTGACATGGGGCTCGATCTCACGACCCTGAGATCACAACCTGAGTTGAAACCAAGAGTCAGACACTTAACCGACTGTGCCACCCAGGCACCCCGACCCATTGGTTGTTTAATTCCATGTTGTTTTGCCTTTATGTGTTTGTGTTTTTCCAGTTTTCTTGTAATTGATTTCTAGTTTCATACTGTTGTGGTCTGAAAAGATGCTTGATACGATTTCAGTCTTAAATTTATCAAAACTTGTCTTGTGACCTAACATGGGATCAGTCCTGGAGAATATTCCATGTGCACTTGAAAAGAGTGTGTATTCTGCTGTTTTTGGATAGAATGTTCTGTATATATCTGTTAAGTCCATCTGGTCTAGTCTGTTGGTCAAGGCCACTGTTTCCTTATTGATTTTCTGTCTGAATGATCGATCCATTCATGTAAGTGGGGTATTAGGTCTCTTACTATTATTGTATTACTGTCAATTTCTCCCTTTATGTCTGTTAATAGTTGGTTTATGTATTAAGGTGCTCCTGTATTGGGTGCATAGGTATTTACAAATGTTATATCCTCTTGTTGGATTGATCCCTTTATCATACGTAATGTCCTTTGTGTCTTGTTACAGGCTTTGTTTTCTAGTCTGTTTTGTATGATATAAGTATTGCTACCCCAGCTTTTTGTTTGTTTTCATTTGCATGGAATATCTTTTTCCATCCCTTCAGTTTCAGTCTCTGTGTCTTTAGATCTGAAGTGAGTCTGTTGTAGGCAGCATATAGATAGGTATTGTTTTTTTAAATCTATTCAGCTACTGTGTGTGTTTTGATTGGAGCACTTAGTAAGTTTACATTTAAAGTAATTTTTTTTAAAGATTTATTTATTTATTTGACAGAAAGAGACACAGAGAGGGAGAGGGAACACAAGCAGGGGGAGTGGGAGAGGGAGAAGCAGGCTTTCTGCCAAGCAGGGAGCCCGATGCGGGACTTGATCCCAGGACCCTGGGATCATGACCTGAGCCGAAGGCAGATGCTTAATGACTGAGCCACCCAGGTGTCCTTAAAGTAATTATTGATTAAAAAAAGTATTGATAAGTATAGACTTGTTGCCATTTTATGGATTTCTTTTTTTAAAGATTTTATTTATTTGTCAGAGAGAGAGAGTGCACAAGCAGGGGGAGTGGTAGGCAGAGGGAGAAGCAGTCTCCCTGCTGAGCAAGGAGCCAGATGTGGGACTTGATCCCAGGCTGGAATCATGACCTGAGCCTGAGGCAGACACTTAACCAACTGAGCCACCCAGGCATCCCTTTCTGATTGTTTTTGTAGTTCTTCTCTTGCTCTCTTACCTTGAAATTTGGTGACTTTCCTTAGTGTTATGTTTGTTTTCTTTTATTTTTTGTTTTTCTATTATAGGTATTTGGTCAGTGGTTACCATGAGGTTCATAATATAACATCTTATGTATATAGCAATCCATTTTAAGTTAATGCCCACTTAAGTTCAGATGCATTCCAAAAGCACTACATCATCCCCCATGATGTTTTTAACATATTTTACATACAATTATTTTATGTTTCCATTGACTAATTATTGTGGGTCTAACTGATTTTATTGCTTTTGTCTTTTAACCTTCATACTAGCTATGTAGGTGGTTGATCCACTACCTTTACTGTATGTTTACATTTACCAATGAGATTTTTCCTTTCATAATTTTCCTTTTTTTTTTTTTAACGATTTTATTATAAGTAATCTCTACACCCAACATGGAGCTCCAACTCACAACCCCAAGAGCAAGAGTCGTATGCTCCACTGACTGAGCCAGCCAAGCACCCCTCCTTTCATAATTTTCTTACTTGTAGTTACGATTTTTCTTTTCTACTTAAAATTAAGTCCCCTAAACATTTCTTGTAAGGCTGGTTTGGTATTGATGACCTCCTTTAGCTTATGCTTGTCTCAGAAACTCCTTGTTTCTCCTTCACTTCTGAGTGATAACCTTGCTGGGTAGAGTGATCTTGGTTGTGAGTTTTTTTCCTTTTAGCACTTCGCATATATCATGCTGTTCTCTTCTGACCTATAAAGTTTCTGCTGAAAAACTAGCTTATAGACTTAGGGTCCCTTGGTATGTAACTAGTTGTTTTCCTTTTGCTGCTTTTAAGATTGTTTATCTCTAACTCTTGACACTCTGATTATAATGTGTCTTGATCACATATCTCAGCAGGGAGACTGCTTCTCCCTCTGCCTGACAGTCCTGGTTGCAGCTGGTGTGGGCATGCTGGTGTGTGGGGTTGGCCCTTGGCACAGCTGGCTATAAGGCCTGATTGTGAGCTGCGTGAGCACTGTTGAGTAGGGCAGGCTTTTGGTGCAGCTGGCTGCAAAGTCCAGCTGCCACTGATGCAGACACTCTAGTGTATAGGACTGGGCCTCCAGGGCAGGAGCCCTTGGGTGGAAGGTGTGCTGGTCCTGGCCAAGGATGCCTGCTAGGTATGGTGGGTAGGGAGCTGCTAGAGAGGAGTGCCAGGCCAGGGTGGACAGGTTGGGTGGGGTGAGTCTGTGCAAGTAGTGCTAGCACAGTAGATGGAGAGTGTCAGAAATGGCACCTGCCAGCACCGGACCAGCTAGATGTAAAGGAAGTAAAAAGAAAATGGGGCCTCCCAGTGCTTCTTTCCCTGGAGAATGTTCAGACAGATCCCTGCCCCTCCAACACACCCTAAACTTAGTCTCCTTGGATCTTCTTCACCTCTAACCTAGGTACTTTTCAAACTAATGCCTCTGCACTGGTGTGCCCTTTAAGAGGGAAGTCTCAATTTCCCACTGCCCTCTGGCTCTCCCGGACATAGGCCCCACTTGTTTTCAATGCCAGGCATTATGGGTGCTTGTCTTTTTGGTACAGGTCCCTCAGGCTATGGAGGCTGATGTGGAACGCAGATCTCTTATTTCTCAGTGAGGGACTCTACAGTTATGATATCCCTTCTGCTGTTGGTCACCATGCCAAGGGTGTGGGTCCTGACTAGACTGTGTCTCTGCCCCTCCTACCCTTCTCATTGTGGCTTTTTCTTTATATCCTTAGTTACATATGATCTGGTTCTGCTACTCTTCAGTTCATTCTCAGAGATAGTTGTTCTATATGTAGTTGTAGATTTTGGTATGTCTATGGAAGGAGGTGAGCTCAGGATTTTCCTACTCCACCATGTTGATACCCTCTCCTATACTACATTTTCTTCATCTCTTCATCCCTCCATAGACACTTGGGTTGTAAAAAAAAAAAAAAAAAAAAAGACACTTGGGTTGTTTCCATATCTTGGCTATTGTAAATAATGTTGCAGTGAACATGGGAGTGCATATATCTTCAAGTTAGTGTTTTTGTTTTCTTTGGGTAAATACCCAGAGGTGGAATTGCTGGATCATATGGTAGTTATATATATTTTTAAAGATTTTATTTTATTTTTTTAAAGATTTTATTTATTTATTTGAGAGAGAGAGAGAATGAGAGATAGCACGAGAGGGAAGAGGGTCAGAGGGAGAAGCAGACTCCCTGCCGAGCAGGGAGCCCGATGTGGGACTCGATCCCGGGACTCCAGGATCATGACCTGAGCCGAAGGCAGTCGCTTAACCGACTGAGCCACCCAGGCGCCCTTTAAAGATTTTATTTATTTGACAGAGAGAGAGAGAGAGAGAGTACAAGCAGGCAGAGAGGCAGAGGCAGAGGGAGAAGCCGACTCCCTGCTGAGCAGGGAGCCCGATGTGGGGCTCGATCCTAGGACCCTGGGATCATGACCTGAGCTGAAGGCAGCCACTCAACCGACTGAGCCACCCAGTTGCCCCGGTAGTTACATTTTTAATTTTTAAGGAACCTCCATACAGTTTTCCATAGTGGCTATACCAATTTACATTCCCACCTACAGTGTGCACAGGTTCCCTTTCCTCCGCATCTTCACCAACACTTGTTATTTCTTGTCTTTTCAAGAATGGCCATTCTAACAGGTGAGTTATTATCTCTTTTTGATTTTGATTTACATTTCCCTCATGATTAGTGATACTGAACATGTTTTTTATATAGTGGTTACCCATTTATATGTCTTTGGAAAATGTCTATTCAGATCCTTTGCTTTTTTTTTTTTTTTTTTTGAGCGAGAGACAGAGAGCATGGTACGTGAGGGGGAGGTTGGGGGCTGCAGAGGAGGAGAGAGAATCTTAAGTAGGCTTCACATTCAGCGCAGAGCTCAAAGCAGACCCCGTCTCACGACTCTGAGATCATGACCTGAGCCAAAATCAAGAGTCGGATGCTTAACTGACTGAGGCATCCGTGTGCCCCTGTTACCTTTGTTGTTTTTTTTTTTTTAAGACTTTATTTATTTGACAGAGAGTTAGAGATAATGAGAAAGAGAGCACAAGGAGGGGGAGCTGCAGGCAGAGGGAGAGGGAGAAGCAGCTGCCTGCCAAGCAAGGAGCCCAGTGTGGGGCTCGATCCCAGGACCCCGGGATCACGACCTGAGCTGAAGGCAGATGCTTAACTAACTGAGCCCCCCAGGTGCCCTGGTTTTTAGATTTCCCATTAAAAACAAAGGTAACAGGGGGCGTCTGGGTATATCCTTTACTCCTCTTTTTTTCTTTACTCCTTTGTCATAGCTCAATTTCCTGTATATGCATAGGTTTATTTTGGGCTCTTTATTCTGTTCCCAAAGGGATTTTTTAAAAAAATGAATATACTAATACAGTTTTGTTTATTTTCTTTTTATATTTTATTTTAAGTAATCTTTACACCCAACATGGGGCTCAGACTTACAACCCCAAGAGCAGGAGTCTCACGCTCCACCAACTGAGGCAGCCAGGTGCTCCTAGTTAGTTTTCTTGTATTAAATAGTATCTGAAGGCCTAATTATTTTTTTTCTTATTTTTTTCATTTGGTGCTGTGCATAAGGTTCTTCCCTCTTTTCTAAGTCTACTTTGAGTTGAAACAATGTGCTTGACAGATATACTTGTGTTTTGTGACAGGGTGATAGAGTTATTATCTGAAACTTGTTCTTATGGATATCTTTGAAAATGATCAAAGAATCTGAACTGAAAGAATGAGCTGGAAGGAACACTACAAATAATTTTCTAGGCAATACCTAAATTACTCCAGATGTTGTCTTCAGATTAAAAGATTATATGATATGAAAATTCCTCTCCTAAACTATTTTTTAAAGATTTATTTATTTTTTAATATATTCTTTAAAGATTTTATTTATTTATCCATGGGAGAGAGAGAGAGAAGCAGGGTCCCCGCAGAGCGAGAGCCCAGTGCGGGGCTCGATCCCAGGACCCCAGGATCATGACCTGAGCCAAAGGCAGGCACCCAACCGACTGAGCCACCCAGGCACCCCAAAGATTTATTTATTTTAAGAGAGAGAGCAAGTGGGAGGGGCAAAAGGAGAGGGAGCAGACTCACTGCTGAGCATGGAGCTGGATGTAGGGCTCGATCCCAGGACTCTGAGATCATGACCTGAGCCAAAACCAAGAGTCAGCCGTTCAACTGACTGAGCCACTCAGCCACCCCATCCTCTTCTAAACTATTATAGAATTTTAATAGTACTCATTTTCAGAATTATCTATAATAGAAAGAAATCTCTTTATGTGGTAGTGTGTTAGGTTCTTCTTGCTCTGGGGACAGAACAGTTGCTGCTCTACCATATGTCCTTTATACACATAGAATAAAGTGAAGTCTTTCTTTGGTCTTCTTATCTCTTGTTTTTTCTTTTTTTTTTTTTTAAGATTTTTTATTCATTTGAGACAGAGATCAGAGAGAGAGAGAGCATGAGCAGGGGGAGAGGCAGAGGGAGAAGGAGCAGCAGACTCCCTGCTGAGCCAGGAGCCTGATGCGGGGCTCGATCCTAGCGCCCCAGGACCATGACCCAAGCCTAAGGCAGACGCTCAACCATCTGAGCCACCTAGGCGTCCCTCTTGTTTTTTCCATCTTTCCTTATGGTTCCGTACATTTACCCGGTGGCTTCTTCTGAAAATTTACCCATTGCTTTTAGTTTGAATAGTGTTTTGTAAACTCTAAAGCATTATGCAAATGTAAATGATTATTATATTATTTTGAAGGTGGTAGACCCTCGAACTATACCCTTACAAAGTTATTCCAGTGTTTGCTCTTAATTGTTGTTGGACAATTGGTGTCATTACTGAAATTTTTTGATTCTATATTTTTATACTCCATGATTCACATTTTATCACTTTTCTGATTCTTACAACCATCTTCTTTAAATTCAGCTCTGACGAACACACACCAGTAGAGGATGATGAGCCAAAGAAAAGCACCACTTCAGCTTCTACTTCAGAAGGTATTTTTTTAAATACTACAGAGCTGCTTTATTGAGAAGTTGAAAAAAATGTTTCTAAATAGTCGAACAATAGACTTCGCTTGTACTCAAGTTGCCCGTCATCTGTTCTTTTTCAGTATTTCAAATACAATAAAACTGATGATCGTAATACTTGTTAGAAGTTAATTTTATATTTGTACTTTACGTAGAAGAGAAGAAGAAGAAGAAGAGGAAGTCTAGTCGTTCGAAAGAAAGGTCCAAGAAAAAGAGAAAGAAAAAATCCTCTAAAAGAAAACACAAGAAGTATTCTGATGACAGCGACAGTGACTCTGACTGTGACTCAGACTCCAGCGGTAAGAAGGCCAGCATTACTCTGCAAGCCTGGCTTCAGAACTCATTTTACTTCGTAAAACTGATTTCAGAGGAAGGTTAAACCACAAGCACGGTAACCAAGAGTCATTGAGCACTCGCTGACTTTGTGCCGGGCACTGCGCTAAGTGCTCGGTGTTCATCAGTGCTGTTTAATCCACACGTGACTCCAGACCACATGTTAGCGCTGGGGGATTGGGGCGCAGAGCAGGTTGCGATACCGCACTCAGGCTCACACAGCTGAGATTCAGACCCGAGTGGCGTGACCCCAGGTGGGCGGTATCTAGCCGTACAAGGCACGTGGCAGTGAACCGAGGTGGGGTCGAGCCGTACAGGGCTGCAGCAGCCCCGGGGGGCAGGTCTCTTGTATCATTCCCACACTCAGTGGGCACCTCTGTGCCACTTTCAAAAAGGAACGCCACAACGGACCCCCTTCAGGCTGGCAGCTGATTAGGGAAGACACCCCCCGTGGGGTGGTGCCTCACAGAAAGCTACCATTTTGTGCCTTCTCCTGGCTGATGGTTGACAGAGGGTGCCACTTCTGGGGACACATTACATAAAGGTGTCTTTTCCTCTGATGTCACCTGGGTTTCCTGGCTCCTGTTGTCACTTTTCTTCCTCACTGTGGAAGAGTGAACTACTGTTTTTTTTTTTATTTTATTTCAGAGAGATAGAGTGCAGGTGTGCAAGTGGGGGGAGGGACAGACGGAGAGAATCTCAAGTTGACTCCCCACTGAGCATGGAGCCTGAAACAGGGCTGATCCCACAACCCATGAGATCGTGACCTGAGTTGAAATGAAGAGTCAGACGCTTAACCGACTGAGCCACCCAGGTGCCCCCAAGTGAACTTTCTTAGAGCACAAACGTGAGCACATCTGTCCCCTACTTAAAAATCCTTCAGAAGCTCTCTGTAGCCTTCAGGGTAAAGTTCGGACCCTGATTGATCCCTCTCTAATCACACATGCCCTGTCACTCTTGCAGCATCCTCTGTAACCAAAGAACTACTGTCTGTCTCCTCGGTATTCCATGTTCTTTCTCTCGCTTCTGTTACTTGATACAGAGAGTCCCATCTGCCTACAATGCCAGTCTCTCCCTGCATGCGGCTTGGCTTACTCACTTCAACAATGGGCATGCAGTACTTTTGTAATAAAACTGATTTTTAAAAAGAACTAGCTTGGGGCACCTGGGTGGCTCAGTCAGTTAAGCGTCTGCCTTTGGCTCAGGTTATGATCCCAGGGTCCTGTGATCAAGCCCCAGTTGGGCTCCCTGCTCAGCCGGGAGTCTGATTCTCCCTCTCCCTCTGCCCTTCCCCCCCACCGCTCGTGCTTGCTTATTCTCTCTCCCTCAAATAAATAAATAAATCTTAAAGAAGAACTAGCTTAAGAGTCACCATTCCTTAACCACCCTCCCCAAACCATCCTGATAATGAGACTTCTCTGTATGCCCAAAGCACCCCACGCTTCCCTGTATCACTCCAAATTCTGTTTATCTCTTTACCTCTGTCTCCTCCATTAGACTGTGCTCCTAGAAAGCATGTCCCTGGCCCCAAACACATAGCGTTTTTTTCTTTTTTCTTCGTGAAAATACTCAAACATTAGAAAGTAAGGAGAATAGTATACTATATATATCATTTAGGTTTTAACAATTTTTAGTATTTTGACAGTTGCTTTAAAGATTTTATTTGCTAGAAAGAGAGCAAGGGCGAGAGAGAGAGCACACACAAGCAGGGGGAGCAGCAGGCAGAGGGAGGAACAGACTCCCCGCCGAGCAGGGAGCCCCATGTGGGACTGGATCCCAGGACCCTGAGATCATGACCCAAGCCGAAGGCAGATGCTTAACCGACTGGGCCACCCAGGCGTCCCTTGACAGTTGCTTTAAATATCATTTTTTTTTTGCTGAGATATTCAAAGTAAATTAGAAATATCATACTGCCACCCTAAAGATTTCTGTATACATCTCTAAAAAACAAGGACATTTTCCTACTTATTCCTATGATTTCACCCAGTAAAATTAATAATAATACTCTGCTTCACTGAAGACTTAGTATAACTTTAATTTCTGTGTCCCTGGAGCCTAGCACATATCCTGATGAGGAGCAATAAATGTTTGAGTTAATTAATTTCTCTGTAACAACAAATAGGGCAATAGGATGTTTACTCAGTTACTGGGCTTTTAGAGTTTAATTTTTGTTTTTAATTAAAATGTGCTTTAATTTGCAGATGAGGATACAAAAAGAAGAGCAAAGAAAGCCAAGAAAAAGGAAAAGAAGAAGAAACATAGATCGTCAGTTTTCTTTCCAATTTTTATCTTAAATTACATAAAATAAAGTAATTAAGAAATAATGATAAATAAAATAGTGTAATGATCCCCCATGTAACCATCACCCAGCTTAATAATTTCAACTCTTGGACAGTCTTTACTGCCCCCCCCCCTTATTTCAAAACCAATCCCAGATATCATTTTGTCCATAAACCAGCATGTTTCTCTAAAAGATAGGCATTCCTTTATAAAAATCATAACCACAGTAGTGTTATCATGCCTAATATATTTAACAGTAATTCCTCAATTCTCAGCAGGTTTTTATGTAGTTTATTTAAATTTGGATCCAAATAATGCCCATAAATTGTGATTGGTTGATATGTCCCTTGTATCTCTTTAAATTAGTTGGTTCCCCTTCCCTTTTTGTTCTTGCGATATTTTTGTTAAAGAAACCAAATCATTTACCTGTAGAGTTTCCTGCAGTATAGATTTTTCTAATTATATTTAATTTTTTAATTTATTTTTTATTTTTTTAAAGATTTTATCTATTTGACAGAGAGAGACACAGTGAGAGAGGGAACACAAGCAGGGGGAGTGGGAGAGGGAGAAGCAGGCTTTCCGCGGAGCGGGGAGCCCGATGCGGGGCTCGATCCCAGGACTCTGGGATCACGACCCAAGCCGAAGGCAGACACCTAACAACTGAGCCACCCAGGCACCCTTTAATTTCTTTATTTTTAAAGATTTTATTTTTAAGTAATCTCTACACCTAATGTGGGGGTTGAACTCAGGACCCCAAGATCAAGAGTCACGTGCTGCACTGTTTGAGCCAGCCAGACGCCGCTGACTGTATTTTTATGGTGTGCTTTTAACATGTTCTTTGTCTTTCTCTAGTTCTTACATATTGATAGTAAGGTCCAGAGACTTGGTGAGGTACAGATTTGAGTCTTTGGCACACATACTTCATAGGTGGTGCTGTGTACTTCGTCAGGAGGCAGATAATGTCTGGTTGTCTCCTTTTGTCATATTAATAGCCATGGATGGTCATTCCCTAGATCCCTTGTTTCATTAAGGATTGCAAAGTGGTGATAGTCTCATTCTGGCTTTTTTTTTTTTTTTTCTGGCTTGCTTTCTTCATTTATTAGGTAGGATAATTCTATAAGAGAAACCTACCCTCATCAACTGTTTGTTTACTCTGAAGTACAGTTTGTATAGGAAAGGCAGGTTATTTTTTTTTACTTTTTTTGTTTTATGAGTTTTCAAAATAATGAGTTGGACTTTTTTTAGTATCATGAACCCCAGGATTCAAACATATTTGATGTATTTTAATCCATTACGCTTCAAATTATTGATGCTCAAATTGGTAAGAGCTGTTTTTTATTTTTATTTTTTTTAAAGATTTTATTTATTTGACAGAGAGATAGAGCACAAGTAGGCAGAGAGGCAGGCAGAGGGAGAGGGAGAAGCAGGCTCTCTGCTGAGCAGGGAGCCCAACATGGGGCACGATCCCAGGACCCTAGGATCATGACCTGAGCCAAAGGCAGACACTTAACCAACTGAGCCACCCAGGCGCCCCAAGAGCTGTTTTTTAAACTGCTTTATTATCTTTTTGCAACATGAGAACTGTATTTCGTTGTACCCTTGAGGGATCTTTTTTATAGTGAAACATGATTTGGTTAAATAAGTTAAAAGATCTTTTAATTAAAATTCTGCTCTAAAAATTTTGATCAGCTTAGAACTTAAATCATTTTCATCAGTCTTTCATTGCCTTAAAAAGTGAGATTCCCTTTAATGTGGGACTATTAAGTGTATTTGTATCAAATTATAATTACAGGAAGAAATACAAGAAAAAGAAGTCTAAGAAGAGTAGAAAAGATTCCAGTGATTCAAGCTCTAAAGATTCCCAGGAAGAGTTTCTGGAGAATCCCTGGAAGGATCGGTCAAGTAGGTTCTTCTGGTAGACTTTGACTCAGAACAGATAAAACATTAAATGATTAGTCAAAATGTGAATCTGTTTCTGAACATCTTTCCTGCAGAGCCTGAAGAACCCTCAGATTTAATTGGCCCAGAGGCTCCAAAAACACTTGCCTCTCAGGATGATAAACCTTTGAAGTAAGTAACAGTATATTTTAAATATCTAAGGTACAGCCCTAACTTGCCTTTCCAACTATATCTCCCTCTATGTCCTTATTTACATGCCAGGTTCCAAGTGAGCCGAACTAAAACTTCCCTGTATTTACTGTGCACTTTCCTACATCATGCCTTGTTCACCTTATGTTTTCCCCCAACATGCCTTCACTTCTTTTCCCTGCCCTTGTTTCTTCATTACTCCCAATTTCTTCCTGTTAAAATCCTTACTATCTTTCAAAGCTCTTTTCAAAAGGAGGGGTCATGTGCTGATTCCCAGGACCTTCCCTCCACGAGTAGATGGGATTCCTACCCCTCTTTAATCCTCTAGTCCTCACAGTACTTTCGGTTTCTTTTGTACAATGTTTTATATGTTCTGCATTGTATTGCAGTTATGTCCCCATCAGTATATAAATTCCATAAGAACAGAGATTATTTTTGTATTACAAGCTTTGAGTTTAATAGGATTTCAAGACACAGTCAGTGAGTTGAATGAAGGGATGATAGTTTTTAAAGTCCTCTCAAATGAAAGTTAATATGTAATTGTTACTGTATAGCATTACCGGTTATAAGTCTAAAAATTATGTTAATTTGAGATATATTATTTCTTTTTTTTTCCTTGAAAGGGAAAAGGGGGAAAGGAATTCACTGGAGGCAGAAGCCATAAAGGCGCTGCCTATAGGGATAAATGATCCATAATTGTAAACCATGAATCTAGACTTACTAACATCAGTTCTTTTGTTCTTCCAAAGCATCTCTGTATTCCTGGGTTAGTTATTTAGGTCAGAGTGCAATGTTCACTAATTAAAGTCATTCACATTGGGCTTCCCAGCATGCTGCCGCTCAGCAACTGTTATTTGTGCTGTTTTCTGAGAGAAAATTTTTTTGTGCTCTCTTTAAATGATGAGCTTTTTATAATGATGAGCTTTTTATAATGAACCTTTTCGAATTCTGAATTACTTTGTAGCTATGGCCATGCGCTGTTACCTGGTGAGGGTGCAGCTATGGCTGAATATGTAAAAGCAGGGAAACGTATCCCAAGAAGAGGTGAAATTGGCTTGACAAGTGAAGAAATCGCATCATTTGAATGCTCGGGTTATGTAATGAGTGGTAGCAGGTAAGTTATTGGCACCGAGGTCAGTTTCCATGATTAGATCTTTTCTCAATACCAGCATTATATTTTGGTAATTGATTTTCATGAAGTGATCATACCTAATGAATAGAGTATAAATTTTGGTTTAATATTGCTTTTATTGGGATAAACATGGTTGTCTAAAATTCCAAGTATGTGTGCAACTCAGCCTCAAAATCAGCTATCTCTCCAACTTGAAAGAATCAGTCTTTCCAGTGTCCTTTCCTAGTTTGTATTTTGGTACCAATAGTTTGTCTTCTGGAGGATATAGTTAATTCAGTTATTTGTCACTGCCCCATGAGGAATGTGGCATTCTAGTAGTAGGAAATCATTTTCATGAGACAGTGTTTCCTGTTTTCTGAGTTTGCTTCAACTATAGAGTCAGAGAATGGGGACTCTAATTCTCTGTGGACTCTAAGAATTAAGAGCAGAAAAGGATTATGATAGCAGGGGGAAATGAATATAAAATTGTGGAAGATGGGGCGCCTGGGTGGCCCAGTCGTTAAGCGTCTGCCTTCGGCTCAGGTCATGATCCCAGGGTCCTGGGATCGAGCCCCGCATCAGGCTCCCTGCTCTGCGGGAAGCCTGCTTCTCCCTCTCCCACTCCCCCTGCTTGTGTTCCCTGTCTCGCTGTGTCTCTCTCTGTCAAATAAAAATAAAATCTTAAAATAGTGGAAGAAAAAGCAAAGAACCAGGAAGAATGAGGAGAGTGAACTAATAGGGCATCAGTACCAAGATCAAACTGAATTTTGGATTTTTTAAAACTTTACAAATTTTAAAGTAGGTACATATTTTAAAATAAAGTTGGAGGCAGATATTTGCAAAACCCCTGAATCACCTCCAGAATCTTAGAATTCAGAGGACCAGCACAATAATACAAAAAGAAATGAGAGTCATAAACATTGGAAAGGAAGGTATAACTCATTTTTTGTGAATGATGTAATTTTTTTTTTTTTACATAGAAAATTCTAAGGAATCTTCAGATGATTCTGAATAATAGGGCTTAATAAATGGTTGGGTATAAGGTTAATACATGAAAATTGCATTTCTATATATCAGGAAACAGGAATGTAATTAAATAAGAAGAAAACAACATTCATAGTAGTATCAGAATATGAAGGATTTAGGAATAAATCTTAACAAAAAATGTCCAAGACCTCTACAGGGAAAACTAGAAAACATTAAGAGACATTAAAGGGGTGCCTGGGTGGTTCAGTCAGTTAAGGGTCTGACTCTTGGTTTCAGGTCAGGTCATGATCTCAGGGTTGTGAGATTGAGCCCCGCGTTGGGCTCCACACTCAATGGGACGTCTGCCTGAGATTCTTTCCCTCTCCCTCTGCCCCTCCCCCACTCACCCTCTCTCTCTCTCTCAAATAAATAAGTAAATCTTTTTAAAAAGACATTAAAGAAGGCTTAAATGGAGAGATACCATGTTCACATAGGCAGGCAATATGTAAACTTGTCAGTTCTCCCCAAATTGATCTGTATATTCAGTGTAGTTCTAGTCAAACTCATAGCAGAGGTTTATGTGAAACTTAGTAAGATTGTTCTCTTTTTTTAAGATTTTATTTATTTGACAGAGACAGAGACAGCACAAGCAGCGGGAGCAGCAAAGGGAGTAAGAGAAGCAGGCTCTCCGTTGAGCAGGGAGCCTGCACAGGGCCTGATCCCAGGACCCTAGGAGCATGACCTGAGCCGAAGGCAGATGCTTAACCGAATGAGCCACCCAGGCGCCCCAATAAGATGGTTCTAAAATTTATGTTAGACTAGAGGGCCAAGAATAGCCCAGTCACCTTTGAAGAAGAATAGGAAGATGAGATTTGCCCTACCAAATATGAGGGCTTATTATGAAGCTTATAGAACTTTAGAAAGTACAGGGCGCCTGGGTGGCTCAGTTGGTTATGCAACTACCTTCGGCTCAGGTCATGATCCTGGAGTCCCCGGATCAAGTCCCACATCGGGCTCCCTGCTTGGCAGGGAGTCTGCTTCTCCCTCTGACCCTCCCCCCTCTCATGTGCTCTCTCTCTCTCATTCTCTCTGTCTCAAATAAATAAATAAAATCTTTAAAAAGAAAAAACTGTAGAAAGTACAGGAGCACAAATGAATTGTTCAGTGGGATAAAATATGAAGCCCGGCAGAGCCATACATGCGTAAACTTAGTTAGATGAAAGAGATTGTATGTCAGATCATTGGGGAAAGAAGGACCTATTCAGTGAATGGAGCAGGAGAAAAATGGTTATCCATTTGGAAAAAGATGAAAGTAGAACCCTGCATCACCATATTTAAAAATCAGTGCAACTAGGGGTGCCTGGCTGTCTCACTAGAGCATGCAACTCTAGATCTCAGGGTTGTGAGTTCAAGCCCCACGCTGAGTGTGGAGCCTTCTTAAAAAAAATTTTTTTTAATTAAGAAAAATATCAGCGCAGCAAGAATAAGGACTTAAATGTCAAAAACAACTTTTTTTAAAAAAGATTTTGTTTTTTTATTTGACAGAGAGAGATAGCGAGAGCAGGAACACAAGTAGGGGGAGTGGGAGAGAGAGAAGCAGGCTTCCTGCCGAGCAGGGAGCCCAATGTGGGGCTCGATCCCAGGACCCTAGGATCATGACCTGAGCTGAAGCAGACGTTTAACGACCGAGCCACCCAGGCGTCCTCAAAAACAACTTTCAACACTCTTAGTGTAAAATATAAGTAGATATCTAACAGATCTTGGGGTAGTAAACTGTTTCTTAAGGAAGACTCCAAAAATGTATTAATCATAAAATAGTGATAATTTGCCTAAGTTTTATTCATCAAAAGACATCTTAAAATAAGTAAAAAGACAAATTTTAAGCTGGGATAAGATCTTACAACTGATAGTATTGAGAATATTTAAGGAATACATACAATCCGAACAAAAAATGGGAAAATGACACAAGCATTTGTTAGAAGAAAAATATATGGCCTACCCATACATAAAAAGATGTTCATTATCATTGGAAATGGAAATCAAGAACATGCTGAAATACCATTTTACATCTATCTGATAGACAAAAGTTCAGAGTTCTAACAGTACCAAGCATTGGAGAAGATGTAGATCTACAGGATCGCTTAAATACTGCTAGTGGTGTTATAAATTGGTACAGTGTCTTTGGAAAACAGTCTGACATCATCTTGGAAAGTTGAGCATTCGTAAGCCTTATGTCCCAGCAGCTCCATTCCTAGATACCCAAGAGAGAATCTTTCCCATGTACTAGGAGACATGTACATAGATGTTTTACATTGTTCACATAGCACTTTGTGTTCCAAATAAACTCTATTCACTGTGCCTTGAGCAACCTTAAATACATTGTCATCTCCTTGTCTTTCCATCCGGCTGCTTCCCCACTTTCACACTAATCTTAAATGATTCTCCCTCTTTTCCTTACTCAGTTTTCTCTGTTTTTCTAGGCATAGGTCAAGCCTTATATCGAACTGACTTTGTAGGATTGGGTTACATAAACGTAAAAGAGTTTCATGGAGTTTTCCCTCTAAGTTAGCAGACCTTTTGAAGATAATGTAATAGTTTCTCTCTGCCCCCTGTACTTTCCTGAATTAGCCCTTGTGATAAATCTCTTCTTTGAGCTGCTACTGGGTTCTAAGGAAGTTAAATCCACTCACAAAACTCATCAAATTCTATTATAGTATTAGACCTGGTCCTTTTGGTTGTATGATAAGTTAGAACCATGAGGAAGTTCTGCCTGACTGATGACATTAAGCCTTTCTTCTGTCCTACTGTCAATTCCCCAAAGGCTAATTCCACATATCACATAGGAAGATTAATAATTTGCTAGTTTCTGGTTGTTTTAGTAGAAACAACAGAACTAGACTTATGCCCTTAGTAATTGAAATTAATAACATTCATGATGTTGACAGAACATCAGATCATTATTTGAATGCTGAAAATGAATCAAAGGATACATTAGCAGATAAATGATCTTTTGAAAATCCAACCCATTACCAAAACAATTTCTATTTGTCAGTTTTTTAAATAGAACAGTCTGTATTAAGAAGGATTAGTGATTAAGTACTATGAGAATAATTACTGAGAAATTAAGCAAAAAATAAAATTATCTCCAGGCATCGCCGAATGGAGGCCGTGCGACTGCGGAAAGAGAACCAGATCTATAGTGCTGATGAGAAGAGAGCCCTGGCGTCCTTTAACCAAGAAGAGAGGCGAAAGAGAGAAAACAAGATTCTGGCCAGTTTTCGAGAGATGGTATACAGAAAAACTAAAGGGAAAGATGACAAATAAGGATTTTCTGATTGTTCAGCATTTTTAACAAAAAAAGAAAGTCTGGGTTCCACATATACATACAAAAAGATTACTATGATCTGAAAAAGCTTTACAGTGCTACTGTGCCTTCTATTTAATTCTTTCAGTCCTTCAATAGAAAGCTGCTTATTGATATAATTTTAGCAAGTTCTTTGGGTTATTTTTGGATTGACCATAATAACTCTCTGGTTTAAAAATCCAAATTACGAATGAAATCATACTGTACTTGGGGAGGTGGCATTGAGAGAAAGTGTCAGTAAGATGAGAAACTTAACTCTCACACCATGGGACAGTGCTACTATTAGCTCTACATGATGCCCGTCCCCCACTCCCACCCCAACTGAACTTGTGGGAAATCATCATTCCTCTATGTTGAACGTGTTATAAATGGACTTGATAGAAACATACAGGAGGCCACTTTTGTTAACAGGGTGAAGGCATTGCTGAAAAAAGCAAATCTGGAATTTGAAAATCGACTTGTATAATATATAGTCTGCCTTGGAAATCATGTATTTTGGTTTTAGTCCCTACCTCTACCCCAAATCCAACAAACAAGCCAAAAACCAAACTAACCCACAGACTTAATGAGTTGAAAATGTGAATGTTAGTGTTTTAAGTTCTTAAAAGGTTCCTTAAAAATGGTTCTTCAAATATAAAATACTGGGAAGTGTACTGTTGTGCCAATGTAAGTAGATTATTTCCATCTAAGCTATGCTTAGATCGTTATTTGAATACTGGAAATGAATGGGCGTCAACTATGGTTAGGAGTTTAATAGGGAAAAATATATTGAAGTGTTGGTTTTAATTTAGTTTTATAAGGATGAAGTTAAAATGATATTAAACGTATTTTAAGTCTGTCCTTTATGTAATAAGCATATTTCATTTTAAACATTGTTAAACGTTTCAGTTTATTTTTTATATCTGTCATTCAGTTTAACTTTGTATAGAACCCCTCACTTTATCACCTTTTTATGGCTACTGTTGACTTTTAAGTTTGAGAGAAATGGAAAATTCTGGGACTAGCAGTTCATGATCTTTTTTCTTCCCATTATTTTGTTCAGTTTGAGTTGTTAGGTCACAAGAGTGAAGAGAAAGGGGACAGTAGAAGTTTTGGCTGTTTTTGTTAAGGTTGTTTTGAGCTGTGTTATTATGTGTCTAGAATAAATCTAAATTACCTGGGGGATGGGGAAGTTCTAACTCTGTGGTCATAAAATGCTCTCTCTTATAATAGTTTAAAGTGTTTTTTTCCAAAGTTTTAAAATAAGGCAGTCATATTTCAAAGTATAGATAAAAAGTTTTACTATTTAACATATGTTCTAGGAAAGTGTCTACCTTTAACCCACAACTAAGGAACTAAACCATTTGGCGTGTAGCAACATTTATGACTCCTGAAGATGAAGTGATTTCTGTTTATCATCATTGCTGCCTAACCTGATCAATATCTTGTTTCCTAAAGGTAAAAGGAAGCTAGGTTCCAAATTTATGAGTTGTAATCCATCTACTTCCCTGTGTAATAAGACCTAAATTTATAGTCCCTATTTAAGAATTCTTTTCTCTAAGAACATTATTTTTTGTTATTGATTCCTAGAGACTGAATGAGTTTGCACTCTTATTTTCAGTAGGCAGATCAGTTTTGTTTTTTTTTATATTTAAAAAAAATCAAGATCCTCCCTTTTTAATGTGTGGATCAATCATGTAAATTAAAGAGGAATTTAAGAATATTTTTTAAGAAATAACAATTTTAGGTAGGCAATTATAAGGAAGATAATCATACATGCCAAGGCTACGTGATTCTTCCACAGGCCCCAAGGGGAGAGATCGATGCCCTGGTTTAGCAAAAATTCTTCGCCAGTACATATTGCATAGCTACAGGTATTATTTGCTGTTACATTGACTCCTGGGCAGAAGTTTTGTCCCAAAAATTCATTATGCTGCAAAGCCACATAGCCATATCGAGGAATGCTGAAGTACTGAAGCCAGGAGAGCCAAGGCCCAACAGTTCTGAGATTTACCAACAGCCCTGAAAATATCATCATAAACACAAAGGAGATGGTCATGAGAAGTGTTGCTATGGATACCACACTCTGGCCTGCTGCTATGGCCAGTGCCATAGAACTGGCCGAATAAGCCACCATCATAAGGGTAAACATCATGATGAAGAAGGCCTCCACAACTGGTTTCAAGCCTAACAAGAAGTATATTATACAAGTAAATATAATACTTGGTAACATCCTCGTGGGTAATAAATCAGATAACAGTTTTCCAAAGAAATAAGATGACACTCTGTAGTATCCACTGATATATTCATGTATAAAGAGCTTCTTTTCAACCACAAAGAGCTCCACAGCTGACACACTGCTGAAACACTGGTTGGTTGTCAGGAAGAAGAGCACTCCTGATCTATTCTGGATTCCTGTAGGATCATTTTTTAGATCATAGAAAATAGCACCAATAACCAATCCCAGGATGACTGTTACAATTATCTGAGCTATAGAGGCCTGGGGATTGCCCAGTAAGTTTTTGAATGAACGCTTGGAAATCCATCTGAGTTGATGACAGAAGGAGGTGGCATAGGTGATCTCCTTAAAGGTTGAGCTCTTCCTCTTATGACCCTTTACAAGTCGATCTAACTCATCTTTCGTTTTTCTGCAAAAGTCAGAGTTGCCATAAAACTCAGCTATTTTTTCTATGAGTGGAGATCTTCTCTTGGAAGGCTCTTCAGTCTCCTTGACTTCACCGTCTTGGTCCTCTCTGTTTAATATCATAGCAGAGGAGTCTCCACTAATGACATCCAGGAAGAAGTCTGCGGGGTTATTATAAGGCTCACAATGGTAACCCACTGATGCAAAGTACCCCAAGGCCTCCTGGGCAGGCCCATGGAACATTAGTCTTCCTGAGGCCAACAAGGTGAGGCTATCAAACAACTTGAAGATAGAATAACGAGGCTGATGAATGGAGAAGATGATTGTTCGTCCCTGTTCAGACATCCTCTTCAGGAGCAAAAGAACAGCATTTGCCGTGCTTGAGTCTAAGCCAGTTGTGGGCTCATCCAGGAACAAGATGGCTGGATCGGTAATAAGCTCCATTCCAATACTAGTCCTTTTTCTTTCTCCTCCAGACCCACCACGTATAAATTGAGTTCCAACCTTGGAATCTGCCACTTTATCCAGACCTAACTGCTGAATGACCTTGTTAATTTGCTCATTTTTTTCATGCTTTGTCATAGTTGTCGGAAGCCGGAGAGCTGCTGAGAACTGTAAATTTTCTCTCACTGTCAGAGTTCCCATCACGACATCATCTTGTACCACATAACCTGAATTACATTTGAAATTGGCAGGTCGAGGTGCTCCATTTATCAAAACATCTCCAGATAATCCATTCGGATCTTTCCTTGCAGCTAAGATATCTAACAACGAAGATTTGCCGCCACCTGTGGGTCCCAGAATGGCATTGAGGCCAGGTCTCATGATGCCATTGACATTTGTCAGCATTTCTTTCTCAACTGTTTTTCGACCAAGAAGAAAGCCACTCTTCACTTTTACTCGATAGCAAATGTTATGAAAACTTAACACGGCTACTTCAGTAAATGTCTTCGGGTTGTTGGAGGTCATCCTGGAGAGGTCAGTGGTGTTTCTTCGTGACATTGGGATAAAAACTTGATCATTATTGGAAGACATCTGGAGAGTTTTGGCCTTTTCAGCTTAACAAGAGATTCAGTTCAACCGAGGTCTTTGATCTCAGAGTCCGTGTGCTCAGGCAGATCAGTTTTAATGCAACAACTCTGTGATAGAGGATTATTGTGGGTTTTTATTGGATTCTCCTGTGTCCTCCACAGAGTAGATAGTCAGTAAATGAAAGAAAACATATTAATGTATTTCAGAACTTTGTCATTTCTTTCATCAGGGTTTGTTCAGGAAAGATCTGCCAAAGAACAGCTTCAGTAGCATGTTTTTTGGGAAAGAGGAGGGTAGAATAAAAGGGCTAAAAGTATTTTGAGCTCATGAGAGTTACTGCTTCAAACTGTGTTGAGTCATCTGAGCCATAAGTCCGACAGGAGGGCTGTTGTATTTGAAATTCATGTTTTGTTCTTCAGGAAGACTTACCTAGTTTTCCACTTCCTTACCAGTTGTTCTGATAAGATTTTCCCTTCTTTTATGTTTGTTACACAAATGTAACAGTTAAAAAAAGAAGAAAGAAAAATTAACCACAGTCTTAGCACATCATTTGTCTTTAGTATTGTGTGTTCCCTTCCAGTGCTTGTCTGCATAAATATGTATTCTGATGTACCTGTACGTAATCACCCATAATGTAATCTTGTCTTTGGTGGTTTAAACCTTTGCAGTCAGACAAGACAGCCTCACAGGGATGGTGGGAACAAGTGATGATCTGGTGTGAGGATGGAAAGACCAGAAATAAGTAAGGGTGGCAATTGTCTCCTGTTTTGAAGCCACCCTGCTGCCATCACGGTTGTGATGCTGTGTGGTATGCAGCGTGCCCAGTTTCAGAGTATCGGAGTGTAGTATTAGTTAACATTGAGGCTTAACTCACAGTAAGTGAAGGGGCCTGTGAGTAGGGAAATCTTTAGACTGGTTATATTATGAGCTGTAGAACTGTTGCCATTTTTCTTTTCCTCAGTTATGCCCATTAAAGAGGTGTGTCTACTAGAGAATTAGGCTCAGATGGGGGAACAAGCAGCCAAGTAGCATTCTCAGTCTGACAGGTGAATTTTAGGAAATCTCTAAACTTGGCTTCTGTACCTGTAAGACTCAAATGATGTAGACAGTGATGGGAAAAACCACTTAGAAATGGAAAACAACTTACTGGTTACTCTGCTAATGTGATGGAAATTGCCAAATGGAAAATGAATGAATGCAAAAAAAAAATACAGCTGGATTGTTTGCCACAAGTTTATTCAATAAATTTTCTGTGGTTTGATGTGCAGTATCGTATTTTTAACACGTTCTGATTAGAAATCCAATCCTAAAACATTCTGTAAGAATTAGAAGGGAATTGACTCCATTAAAATACTTTTGGCCTCAATAATATCCCTCAGCCATTTTTCTTGAAAGCGAGTCATTCCTGGTCTGCAGAGGAAGAAAAACAAACATACCAAAACTTTTTAACATAAAACACTGAGCCAGGGATTCCCTGTTTATTCTGTTACATTCCTAGTGAGTAAGAAGTCCTTTGAGGGTGGGGAGCAAAGGTTGTCTCTATTCCATCGGCCCAATCAGTAAAAGGATTCATGAGTTTATATGTAAAGATTCTCTAAAAAAGCTGCTGTACAAATAAAAGATTATTATATAGAACTTAATTCCATTGACTATGAAGTTTCCCATAGAAACACAGACATGACCCACTTTGCCCCCACCATCCTTTAGCAGTTAATCCTCAAGTTTTTAATTACTGAAAAATGAGACATTAAAAATTTTTTTCTAGAACAATGGCAGAATCCTTTCAGCCCATCCTAATGGGGTGGGTGGGCCAAAGAAGAAAAGTGACCATTACATGAGTTATCTGTGGCCGTGGGCCTGCTAGGTTCCTGGGGTGTGATGACCTTTGCCCACCACCCTTTTAAAAATAAGTCTCCAGGGGCATCTCGCTGGCTGGGTCAGTAGAGCATGTGACTCTTGATCTCAGGGCCATGAGTTCTAGCCCCATGTTGGGCGTAGAGATCACACACACACACACACAAGTCTCCAAGTGTTAATTACCTGTGAACAAACGAAAGGCCCTCAAAGATATAAAAGACCTCAATGGGCATATCCTAAGAGAGAAAAGGATAACTGTTAGCTTATACCAATCATACCAACTCGTAATTCCTTCCATCCCTACACTTGTCCATATGTATACTCTTAAGTTTCTAGAATTCATCCTCCTTATTGGGATGTCTGTAGGTGGTAGTTCTTTGTCACTTGAAATCTCTGTTCCCCAAAAGATCTTTTTGGCAACAAATACCTGAAGAATCTCTGCAAAACTGGAAACAAGTCAGGAAAGGCTTGTGCTCCTCATGAATAGTCATTTACTTTCTTTTTATGTTCCACTCTACTCAGTGGACAGTATTTACCTCTTAGGAGTAGGATAAGAATGAAATAATATAGATAAACACGGTTTGAAAACATTTTTAAAGCAGCATAAAAGTGGAGGTTGTAATATTGTCTCAGGGGTCTCTACCCATGCTCCCTTCCAAAATTATGTGTGGAATTGAGAACAAGAGCCCTTCTCCTAAGCCCTCAATGTACAGTCTCTGGTCATGGTCTTGCTTACCTCCAGCAGCCTTACTTTCCAATCTCCAACCTTGCCAGTTAGCAAGACAGCTGATGGCAGGATAGATGACCAGGAGGAGTGAGAGCTCCACGTACTTTACCTTTTTACATGACTCCAGGTTCAAATACGTAAGTTCGTAGTAGGATAGGACAAACGTAAGACAGAGTTGGCCCACCGTGTAGTCCTCTGTGAAGCTCTGGAGGCAGACCAAGCCTCAGATAACTTCTGTGACAGAATGGGCAGCACGGGGGAGAATAACGTGTGTATGTCTGCTGTATTCCAGGCACTGTGCTTGGGACCAGACCTGCTCCTCTGATGACCCAAACCCTGGATTTGTGGATGTTATTTGGATTCCTTTCACACCAGCTATCAACATACTTCATATTCCTGGTCTACCTGGTTGGCTACCCGCAGTCATTCCTTCAAGTATTTATTGAGTGCCTATTACTTGCCAGGCCTCATTTTACAGCAAAACAGAAATTCCTGCCTTTGTGGAGCTTATATTCTGGTAGGGGGAACAGACAATAACAAGATAATAAATTACGTAGACTATCAGAAGGTAAGAAAGTGTTAGGGAGAAAAAGCAAAAGCATGGAGGAAGGGATAAAAGTGTGACGTAGGAGGTGAGAGCAGGGTGTGCACATACCTAGGTGAGAGTGTTCCAGTCAGAGGGAACAGCAGATGCAGAGGCCCTGAGGTGGGACTCTACCTGGATTATTGAAGTCACAAGATCACAGCTGGAGGAGAGGGAGGGAGGGAGGAGGAGGGGGAGGAAAGCAGAGACAACAAGAGACCAGGTCACACAAGGGCCTCCCAGGCCCTCACTACTCAAAAGTGTACGCTGTGGGCCGGCACACACCTGGGAGCACCACCTGGGAGCTGCTTTTTTTTTTTTTTAAAGATTTTATTTATTGGAGAGAGAGAAGGAGAGAGAGAGAGAGCACATGAGAGGGGGGAGGGGCAGAGGGAGAAGCAGACTCCCCGCTGAGCAGGGACCCCCCCCCCCCCGATGCGGGACTCGATCCCGGGACTCCAGGATCCTGACCTGAGCCGAAGGCAGTCGCTTAACCAACTGAGCCACCCAGGCGCCCCTACCACCTGGGAGCTTCTTAGCAATGCAGAATCTCAGGCCCCACCCCAGACCTGCTGAATCAGAATCTTCCTTTCAACAAGATCTGCAATTAATGGGCATGCACTTTGAAGTTAGAGAAACACGTTGGAACATTTTAAACAGAGGAGTGGCATAGGTTCATTTTATCAGGCTCACTCTGGCTGGCGGCTGCTATTTCGAAAAGATACGCAATGAGGGCAAGGGTGGAAGCAGAGAGGCCAGTTAGGAGGCTATTGAAAGAATCTTGGTAAGAGATGATGGTGTCTTGTACCAAGGTGGCAGAAGTGGAGTGGTAAGAAATTGTTGGATTCAGGACCTATTTTTGAAGATAGGGCCAATAGGATTGCTAATGTGTTGGATGAGGGATGAGTCAAGGATGATGCCAAGGATTTGGGCCATGGACGGAGATGAGAGGTCTGCGGGCAGGTCAGGTTGGGAGGGGAAAATTGGAAGTTCAGTTTTGGATACAAGAAGTGAGATGTTTATTAAACATCCAAGTGGCAGAGATCTGGGCTGGAGATGCAGATTTGGGAAGCATAAGCTAGAGGTGGCGTTTAAAGTCAGGAGACGACAAGATCACCAAGGAGAGGAGTATGGAGGACAGGTTCGAGGACAGTAGAGACTGAGAAGGAATGGTCGGTGAGGCAGGAAGGAAAGCCCAGATAGTGTGTGGTTCTAGCAGCCAAATGGAACATTTCATGAAGCGGGGAGTGAGCAGCTCTGGCAAGTGCTGTAGATTGGCCAAGCAAGATGAGGACAGAAATAGGACTTAAGTTTTACAAAGAAGGGGTCATCAATGACCCTGACAGGAGAAGTCTCCATTTTCACTGAAGTCTCATCTAAGCGAACGGGGCAGAAAAGGAAGAGCTTACTGGAGGTTTGTTTTTGGTGATCTTGATGGTGAAGTAGGCAGAGGCAGTGACTTGTGGCATGGGTCTCTTAGCAGTTGGGATGCTCCAGCGCACACAGTAGATATAGTGGTAGCTGTGAACCAAGTCTTCCCTCTGTATAAACTCTGTGTAGTGCACCCAGCAGTTTTGATACTCCCAAGTCTGTTTCATATAAAAGAGAAAGAACACACAGAAAGAAAAGCAAACGTTCTTTCAAGTCCTCTAGGTAAAGGCAACAACACAGCAGTAGGGGTTACAGCCCAGCTTCGGGCATCCATTTCTAACATTTTTGACTGGGATTCAAACTAGAGTCAACTCCCAATCTATCTCCACAAGTGGAGGAGAGAAAAGGTAGAGCCGACATGAAATGAGTGAAATAATGCAACCTCCCTGGAGATCGGGCTTTGGAACCCAGAGGTGCGCAATCAGATGTGCACCCAGAGGTGCACAAATACACCACACGCACGTATACACACTGACCTCCCGCCAGACCCTTACTTGGGAGGCAAGTTTGGTTAGTTGGAGAGTAATTAGAAAGTGATTGGAGCATGTGTTCTGCTCACTCCTCTTGGGAGGCCTGTAGATGCCACTGGAAAGTAATGAGGCTGATTTCACAAGCTGTTTTTGAAAATCAGACTCAGTTCAATGCAGCCATCAGTGGTATATAAACTAAGTTTAGAAAAGGAATGAGTCAGGCACTGGGATCATCCAGATCCTCAGATCCCTATTTTACCCCCTTGGAGAAATTTTTCTCTCCAAAGCATGAATTTTACTAGTGCCTAGGGCCCACAGAAGTCACAGTGCAGCCCCGATTCTCAGTCCAGTGCCTTGAATGCTATAGGTATTCAACAAGTTCAATTCAACTGAACCCCCTTGGGTTGGCTATTGGTGCACAGGAAGCTTCCACATCAAAAAAAGTCCTGAATTAAGTTGAAGGTCCACAGAAGGAAGGAAGTGGGACAGTCTAAGAGTTTCAGTGATATGAGGAGGAACAGTTGGAGGGAGATGGCTAAAAGATTTCAGGCCCTCTAAAAAAATTTTAAAAAGTAGGTTGGCCTTCTGCCTCAGCTTACTTTATTTCTTTCCTTTTTTTTTTTTAAGATTTTATTTATTCATTTGAGAGAGACAGACAGAGAGAGAGAGAAAGAGAGAGCACGAGCAGAGGAGAGAGGCAGAGGGCGAAACAGACTCCCTGCCGAGCTGGGAGCCCGATGCGGGGCTCAATCCCAGGACCCTGGGATCACGACCCAAGCTGAAGGCAGACGCCTAAACATCTGAGCCACCCAGGAGCCCCAGCTTACTTTATTTCAAACTTATACCCAATTGATTGTTTCAGTCAGCCAGACAGGAGCACCAGACTCTAGATTCCCTGGGATCAGAACTGTATTTTACACAGATTATCATTCCTTTTATGAAGGAGCCTGCTACTTAACCCTTTGCGGCCCATTGGAGCATGACTTTCTTTCCAACCTTTCTATATGAATATATTTCTTCAGCCCTGATGTTGAATCCGTCAGACAATCAAAGACTTTGTACCATCGGAAGGGGCCCTAGAGATCATTTAGGGAAGTCCCTCCCTTTGCAGATGAGAATATTGGGGCCTAGCAATGGGAAGGGACAGTCCAACATAAAAGCGGGGACTGGGACCCAGGGCTCCCAAGCAGCCCGCTCAGTGCTCTCTCTACCCCACCAGATGTCTCTGTTCTAAGATTCTCTTCCTCTCAATTTGGTGTCCTAGAGTTTTTTTTTTTCTTTCTTTTGTGAACTAAGGCAGCCTTAGACACATTAAATTCAGCCATCTCCATCAAGCCGGTTTCCCCATTTTTATCACTGTTCAGGCAGCTCTTTACGTAGCTCCAGTGAGTATGTGTTATCCTTGTATTTTGTAATTTTTACATAACATTGCTTCATATACTCGCTTCCAGGAAACAGTATCTCATTGTGCTACTCCACCATGGATGGCTTAGCCAATTACATATTATTGGACACTCAAAATCAACAGGCACCTGGACGTATATGCACAAAACTGTTAGCAATGGTAAGTGACCCTTGAGGGAGTAGAACCGGGTATCGTGGGGGTGGAAGGAGAGTTTTCCCTTTCTACTTTGTGTCCTTTTGCTCATTGGGGATTTTCCGTTTTTTAATAATGTCTTGTTTTAGAATAAAAATAATTTTAGGGGTGCCTAGGTGGCTCAGTCGTTAAGCATCTGCCTTTGGCTTAGGTCATGGTCCCAGGGTCCTGGGATCGAGCCCCGCATCGGGCTCCCTGCTCAGCGGGGAGTCTGCTTCTCCCTCTCCTACTCCCCCTGCTTGTGTTCCCTCTCTCGCTGTGTCTCTCTCTGTCAAATAAATAAATAAATAAATAAATTTAACTGGGTGTTAGGCATTGGAGATTTTCCAACTTTCCTCTTAGAAAGAACTTATTTGTATATTCATGTTGCCAGGTTGTGTTCCTTAAGAGAATAAACAAATTGTGCCCATTGGCCGTGTGTAAGTGTACCTATTCCCTCTCCAAAACACATGAGCCTCTGGACATCAGGTTTAATCATTCTTATTCACATTGTAATACCTTAAAATCTTTTGAATTTGCATTTTTCACTGATAGTAAAACTCTGCATTATTTTTGTCATCAAAATAACTTTTCAGGGGCACCTGGGTGGCTCAGTTGGTTAAGCGTCTGCCTTCAGCTCCGGTCGTGATCCCAGAGTCCTGGGATCGAGCCCTGAGCCCTGCATCGGGCTCCCTGCTCAGTGAGGAGTCTGCTTCTCCCTCTGCCCCTCCTCCCCACTCATGTTCGCTCTCTCTCTCTCCCAAATAAATAAATAAAACCTTTAAAGGAAAAAAAAGAACTTTTCCTACTATGGTGGCCAAAGTATATCAGACAGGTGATCAAAACTTTATTTTGCTGATTAATCAGAAAGACTTAGGACAGGGGTGCCTAGGTGGCTCAGTCAGTTAAGTGTCTGCCTCAGTTTCGGCTCAGGTCATGATCTCAGGGTCATGGGATAGAGCCCCACGATGGGCTCCACACCCAGGGCAGAGTCTGCTTGAGATTCTCTGCCTCTCCCTCTCCCTTTGCCCCTCCCCCCACTCATGCACACTTTCTCTTCCTAAAATAAATAAATAAATAAATACAGTCTTTAAAAAAAAAAAGACTGGACAAATAGTCCAACCTCTCTGAACCTCAGGGTTTCTCATCTGTAAAATGGGTACCCTGATGTACCTACATGCAGGTTCATTGTGGGGGTTAGGTGAGATCATGCATGTGAAGTGCTCAGCAGTACTTGACACATAGTAATGCTCAGTAAGTGGTAACTACTGATTTGCCATCCCCTGGGGTACGGTGGACTCTGGGAAATCTGCAATAAGCTTGAGAAAGCTCTCCATCAGAAATGTCCGACACTTAGATGGCAGACTTTACTTCTAGGGCTCACTGCATTAGCAGGGCTGGGAACAAGATGATTTTATGTCAGTAGCTTTATAGAGCTTTTAACGTTTCAGTTACTTTCCACTTTCTAATCATCTTATCCTCATAACAGTCCTACACAGTAGGTAAGCTCTTCATCTGTGAACAAATAATGGTATGGAGAGAATAAATCTGTTCACGTGTTCAACACATGTTTTAGAGCATCTCTGTGTACCTGAGCTTTCTAGGGGCTGGGGACAGAGAATTGAATAAAAGCCTCTGCCCTCATTGACTATTTGATCTGTAAGTGGAAGAAAGGCAAAG